AGCTCCGGTTTAACCCCCCCCCCCCCCCGGGCTTTACAAACTCCACGTCCACAGTCCCCCACGAAGGCGAGGATCCGCTCTCGTTTTTGCTGCTCGTCGTCCTCCAGATCATGTCCGCGGCTCCCGGGATTCCGCTCGGAAAAAGAAGTTTGCCCGGCGAGGACCCAATGACCTTTCCGAGCCGTGCGCCTCACTACCTGGGCCAGGTCTGAGCGAAGGTGCCCAGGCGGACCTTTCCGAGGGAGGTGAGTGTCCGCTCTGGGAAGGGGCTGCAGCCGCCAGAAGGAAGGAAGGGAGGATGGGTGTCGGGGGTGTGGGGGACACTCAGATTCTCGGTCCCGCGTGCCCCAAGTTCAGAACTGTGAAAAGAAATCATATGGATGCAATCTTGGGGCACTGTGTTTCTCACTTAATCGGATTCCAGGCACACCACTCCCAGCTAACACCCAACGGCACACACTTGTATGCGCTGTTTTAGTTGTGTTTTGCGACATTTAATCTAAGTGTTCGGCAAGGCTTCTTAGAAAAGCTGCTCAACATACGCTCAGATAAAACCCCATAATCCCATGTGCTTCTGATGGTGCCGCAGTATTCCTGGTCCACCCGTCCCGGGGCAGCCGCAGCAGCGCAGCGCAGCGCGGACGCGCGGGGACTCACAGTGCCTGCCTAGCCAGCGCGTTGCAAGAGGGAAGTTACAGTTCAGTCCTAGGTAATCCTCCAACCTTGTGCTGGGCTTTTGATTTTCCTCCCAGCCTCCAGTCCCGGAGAGGGGGCAGAAGGCAAATTCCCTGAGGGTTTAAACGCTCGCCTCCTCGAGTAAGAGCAACAGAGAAAGGAGTAGTGGCGGTTGCAGGAAGGAAGGAGAAAAAAGGTGTTTGCGGAGGGAGCGGGGGGGATCCGTCTCCCTACCTGTTAGAACCTAGAGAACAAAAGAGGGCTGGCATTTCCCGAAGCGAAACGGCGCAGACAGCTACTTTCTCAGCTAAACTGCAGTCCTGAGCAAAACAAGAAAATTACTCACGCAGGGAGAGCGAGGGAGCAGAGAGAAACAGAACCCAGATTATGCGGAAGGCATCTTAATTTAATTAACTCCTTGGAAAGGCAGAGGCGCTGCAAAGGGGCAGGAACTTCGCGGCCCTTTTCCTCTGTTCACCTGATCCAGTCTGGCCATCGTTAGTACTTTTTAAATGATCTCCTTATATCTACTGGGACTATAGCTCTGATTTATGTAAAATTCCATTGTGGCTTCGGTTGAAATTCAGCAAGCCTATGGATCCATCAGCCGTTTGTCTCACACTAGCACACAGGTTTTAGCAGATGACCCCTGACTGTGTCTTATTTTTAGATAACTGAATGTAATAACAGCATTACCAAAGAGCAAGACTCTATCAGATTACCACGTACCTTTTTCCTCCCATGTTTTGAAAGCTTCGGTGAAATGAAATTAGTATGTACACATCTCACTTGTTGACAGCCAGTGAATTAAATTTTACAGAACTTCTGTACATGCCTGGAAATCCCTGTGAAGAAGACTGATAAAAGAAAATTAGTCTCAGCTTCACCAAAATATTTGTTTTTCACTGGCTCTTTCCTCGTAAAATTAGAAGTAACTAGTGGTCCAAAAAGGGGTAGTGGAGAAATGACAGCAGAGGATGATGACCTCTGTTACTGCCTGAAGCTCAGGGTGGGAACTACATGCTCCACTCCAGACAAAATGAAAGTACTTTAGCTCTCTTCGTTGACTTAAAACATCTTTTGACATATATTTCCAGCAACTCAGTGCGAGAGTGGAAATCTAAATTCCCTGATTATTTATGGCAAAAGTGTTTGGTGGATATTTAGAGTCGTTCTGCTTGTAAAAGGGTTGAAGTCACCACTGGTTTGTCCTTCTTCTATGAAGAAACTATCTGTCCTGCAAATTAAAATGAAAACTTACTATGAAATAGCACGTTTATGCTGCTTTGGAGCTGAATTGTAATGGAGTTGCTAATTTTTGTGTTACAAACCATTTGAAGAAAATGGCAGGAAGATGGCACTCAACTTTTTGCTGGCAGAATTAATGCATAATGTTTATGGCAGATTTCACTTTGTGCATTTGAAGTGGAAATTACAGGTGGTGATATTCCTTCAGTTGACAACCCCCTCCCCTCATAACAGTGGTGGGAGTTATACTTTGCCTCCTGTATTTATTTCAAAGAAATCTAGTCTGGGAATACACCCAAATAATAATTTCGGTTTCCTCTCTGTGGGGGAAACCGCTTTTTAACACTAGGGGAAAAATAATATTTTGAATCTCTGGAAAATCCTCATTACACAAAAAGAAGGAAATAAATGTGTAATTTATTATTTTTAATGGAAAATGAGATAATCAGATAGATTACTAGGAATGTTAGTAGAATCCTTTTTCCCTGCCTTTCTAGGAGGGCTTGAGGGTTGCCACTGAACAAAAATGAATCGTGATTTGTGGTGGGAAAGTTTATTACTAATGGAGGTTTACAGTTTCGGTTGAATGGTCTGACTGAGACCCTCTGACTCTTCCACACCTCTCATTAACCCCCGGTCTGAACTCCCAGACCGAATACGACCAGGCAGAAGCGGTTCATTAATAAATCCCTGTCTCTGAGCATTCCAGAGGAGGAGGAGAGAGAAGGTGTGGGCCTCACTGAAGCGACCAAATTCTGCCTTGTCAGAGCGCTGTGTCATTATCGCAGTCTCCCAAGTCTGCCCTCAGACCCGCGGGCAACACTTCACAGCGCACTAGAATAGATTCAGGCGTGTAAAGGGATGGGTGGTGAAGGAGCACTGGACAAACTTTCCCACCTTCCGGCTGGGTTCAAAAGCCAGGCTTAAAAGGTTGAATGGCTCCAATCGATCCGCCGGCCCCTCGCAAGCACTTAGCTGTGAGTCCCGCACCTGGGGAGCCTCCCTCAAAGGCAAGGCCCAGGTCTGAGGAGCTGGCAGAACCGCTGCTAAAAGGCGGCTGGCGGTGGGAAAAGGTGGGCCTTTCCCTAAAACGCAGGTAGGGTGTCCTGGGGAACCGGGGTCTGAAATCAGACCTCTGTATTGCCATTGGGGGAGCAGGAAGAGGGGAGTGAGTGCTCCCTGCTTAGGCCCAGGCCGCACGCATCTCCCAGCAGATAAACGACCTTCCTCCAGGCTGGCAAAGCCGCACTGTACCCGGCCCGCCGTGGCTCCCCTGCTGCCCCTTCCCCAGGGAGTCCACTCTCCTCTCCACTCCTCTCTTCTCACCTCCTGAGGCCTCCCTGGTGTAGGAGCGGCTCCCGGTGCCAGGCCGGGAAGCCGCTCCCGCCTCCCGAGAGCTTGGCGCTCAGTCTGGGAGAAGGGGTTCCGGCCTCAGGGAGGTTCTCCGCCCACCCACCCGTATCCCCTACCACCGCACCCCACCCCCGAGAGCCTGAACCATCTGGAAGGGATCTTGGTCGGGGGGTGGGAGGGGACGGCTCCTGGGAAGGAGGAGGGGGGCGATTCCAGGCTGAACCGGCTCCAGAGGTGTCACTTTTCTTTCCTGCGGCCCGTCACCGCTGATAAATGGGACTGAGGCAGAGGAAGGAAAAAGAAAACCTCCGAGGTCAACGCGGGGCGAGACCGGCCCCTCCGAGGGCCCTCCGGCCCTGGAGCGCGAAGCGCACCCCGACTGCGCTCCCGCACCCGCGGCGTGGCCGGGGTAAGCGCGGGAAAGGCGACCACGCGGCGGAACGGCCTGCGGGGGGCGCAGCGCGGGGAGCAGCAGCACCCGGGCTCCGCCGGGCGGTCCGTGTCGTTGCCCGGAGAGCTCGGAGGCGCCGCGGCGACAGAGGCTCGGCCCTGGGCCTGCGGGTGCTGGCGTCGCGGGCCGTCGCGGTTGCCAGACCTTCGCCGGACAGGGTGGGCTGGATGGGCTGAACTGGGTGCTGCCTCGGCTGAAGCACCGCCTTCCCCCAGCCCGCCTTTCTTTCTCCCGGGGCCTGGGTCTTCCGCTCAGTGCGTGCCCGCCAACCCCACCTTCCTCTGGGCGCCCACAGAAGGGCCGCCGGGGCGCCCGGCTCGCCGGAAAGCCACTTCCCGCCCTGCCTGACACCCTGGCCCCGGGTCTGAGCATGGTTCGGACCCGCACGGCAGGCGCTGTGGGGATCCCTCACCACTCCTTCGGGGGGCCCTGGTGTAGAGTGGGAAGGAGGACTTTGAAGGAAGGTGTGGTAACCCGCGCCGGCGCCAAAGGGCAGGCCGAGCCTGCTAGGATAATAGTCACAACTCTCCCCCTCTCTTCTCCTGCCATTTTTAGGGTTTTCTCTGCGTGCCTTTGTCTCTCTGGGTTCTCGCCGGAGCCCCACGCCCACCTGCCTCTGAGTCCTGGAAGACAGGGGCGGCTCCCTCCGCCCCCCAGCACCAGGGAAAATGGGGAGCAAGGCCCTGCCGGCGCCCATCCCGCTCCACCCGTCGCTGCAGCTCACCAATTACTCCTTCCTGCAGGCCGTGAACACCTTCCCCGCCGCGGTGGACCACCTGCAGGGCTTGTACGGTCTCAGCGCCGTGCAGACCATGCACATGAACCACTGGACGCTGGGGTACCCCAACGTGCACGAGATCACCCGCTCCACCATCACCGAGATGGCGGCGGCGCAGGGCCTCGTGGACGCACGCTTCCCCTTCCCGGCTCTGCCCTTTACCACCCACCTCTTCCACCCCAAGCAGGGAGCCATTGCCCATGTCCTCCCAGCCCTGCACAAAGACCGGCCCCGTTTTGACTTTGCCAACTTGGCCGTGGCCGCCACGCAAGAGGACCCCCCTAAGATGGGAGACCTGACCAAGCTGAGCCCGGGGCTAGGTAGCCCCATTTCGGGGCTCAGTAAATTGACTCCGGACAGAAAGCCCTCCAGAGGGAGGTTGCCCTCCAAAACGAAAAAAGAGTTTATCTGCAAGTTTTGCGGCAGACACTTTACCAAATCCTACAACTTGCTCATCCACGAGAGGACCCACACGGACGAGAGGCCATATACATGTGACATCTGCCACAAGGCCTTCCGGAGGCAAGATCATCTGCGGGATCACAGGTGAGGTTGGAAAAGAGGTTGGCCTGGGTAGGGAAGTCGACTTTGTTCAGAGTACCGAGTCCTGATAGACAGTCTAAGTGTCACCAAAATCCCCTCTAAACCAGAATATATTCCCAAAGGCCCTCCCTGGCCAGCTACAGCTAACCCCCAACTGTTACCTTTTTCCTCCTCTGTCTCTGGCTGCGTCCTGGTTTGGGATGCGGAAGGGCCTTTCCTCATTCTTAGGCAGTTACAATCCGGTGGGTTGGTCTTTGTATACGTTTCCCAGTTTCCTCCGGGTCGCCAATGGGGGGTGGGGCCAATAAAGCCGAGGGACCCCAAAGACCTTCCCACGGTGGGTACCAGTTCTAGCTGCTGTCAGACCATTTCTAGAAATCTACTCGGGCCACCTCTACTGGGTTCCCTCCTTTCCCTATCTCCCCACCCCCAGGTGTGCCCCAGAGCCTGCCAAGGCGACCTTTCTTTTATTTTACTTATGGGGGTCTTGAGATCACTGAATTTAGAAACGGGTCCCCACCCCGCAACACCCTACGACCTTAAACTCTGCATTAATAAATGGCAATTGAAGAAATACTGTAACGTAAGTGTTTTCATCGGGTAAAAGCTTCCAAGGAGTGGGGGTGGGGGTATCTTTTCTTGGACCCTGCTTGTAGTTCTACAGCACTGGGACTCCTGTTGGGATCCTCCGCGGCTGTTTAGGGATTGGGTAAAATCGGTTCCCCTAAAGTCGGCCTTGCCTAACATCCTGATTTGGCCAGTTTAAATACCAGAGAAAACCGAAGAGACCAAGAAGGACTCATTCGGCACGATTTTGAGCTCCAGAATACACCAGAGAGGGCGATCAAGTGTAGATAAAGCCGGCGTCCGGTGAATGTTTTGAAGAATCTGTTAGTTGAGGTTAACCATAAACAGAATTACACAGAGGAAAAAAAATAACAATCTATAAACATAAATAATGGGAATCCCGTTTCTTCTGCCCTTTCACGACTTGGTTTTGAGTAACTGTCAAAAGAAACTCCTCACCGTGGTGTAAAACCATTTCAATGAAACCTTATATTGATTTTCAGGTATATCCATTCCAAAGAAAAACCTTTCAAATGTCAGGAGTGTGGGAAAGGATTTTGTCAGTCTAGAACTCTAGCGGTTCACAAAACTTTACATATGCAGGTAAGTTTGTTTTCTTGTTTAAAAACAATGGCTGGTTTCGTTTTATCATCTTTGCTCACAAAGGTGTTCAATGGCGAGCTCTTTCTCTTAAAAGGCTCCGTTTAGATTTAGTTTTCGAGGTGGGGAAAAGCAGCACTCAGTATTTTTTATGCAAAAAATTACTCTTACCTACCATAAAGCATTATTATATTTTTCTTAAAGAAAAGGCCATTCTCTTTATTCTAAGTCCTAACTTTAGATTTTTTTTTTTTCCCATCTGATCTGCCCTGCATTTAAAGCTTTCGTGTTTGGGAGGAAATAAAGGTAATTTTGATAATGGAGGCATAGTGAAATCCCATATGCTCTCTCTCCCAGGGGCCTCATAATTTGTAGTTTTCAGAACATTGAGGAATAGTTTAATTTTCCAGCAAAGAGGAGCCTTATTACCCGGGAGAATGTCGTTCCTTAAGAGTGGATTAGAGTTTTTTCCTTCCTTTTCCTGCCTGTGACACGGTGATGAAATGTAAAGAGCTGGAAATCACAAAGCCCACCGCGGTGGCCACCGGCAGTTATCAGTGTAATCGGGCCTCTGTGTGTGCCTGCGCGAGTGCGTTCTTGATTGGAGGATTAGGAGCCAGATTTGTTCGTGCAAGTCCCCTCTTTTGTTGTCGTGCGCGTGTTATGTTAACGCTTGTGATACCGATAAGACAGAAACTATTGAGAAGGGTGCGGTGGTGGTGTGAAGGATTAATCCTTTGCTTGCTTCACATCTGAACAGGAATCTCCACACAAATGTCCCACATGTGGAAGAACCTTTAATCAGAGAAGTAATCTGAAAACTCACCTTCTCACCCATACAGACATCAAGCCCTACAGCTGCGAGCGGTGCGGCAAAGTGTTCAGGCGAAACTGTGATCTGCGGCGGCACAGCCTGACTCACACCCCGCGGCAGGACTTCTAGAGAAGCCCAGGATGTGTCCCGTGCCGCCGCTGCTCCCCTCCCCAGACACTTCTCCACGCCTCCCACCCAAGGGTCGCACCCCCAACCCCTCACTGACCCCAGCTCTTCCCTTGCTGTAGCCGCACCTGCAGCTCCAGGGAGTTAACTCTTCTTCTCGAGGACTGAGGACTGTAGAAAGCCACACAAGTACATCCCTTCACAAAGAGTATATGCTAGTTTCTTGTAGATATTCACAGCTCATTTTAGAGCTCTGTACATAATGTCGTGGGTCTTCGTTTTGTTGTTTTGTTTTGTTCGTTTTTGTATCTTGTTGGATGCACCTAGATATGGAAAATGGAAGCCAAATTTATCTTTAAAGAGTGTATTTTCAAAATAAAACCTTTTCTTGTTTGTTTCAACACTTCTGCAAAAGTGTCTTGCTATTTAACTTCTGTTCTTCCGCTGGGCTCTGGGAGAGTAGGATGCCTCTAAAATACTCAACATTGAGGGTTTTCTTTATCCCTAGGTTTTTAAAATAAGACTTCTCACAATTCTCTGAGACTTCAGCTCTTCCCTTTCTGTGTTATGGTATTTTTGAATTGGACAATTTAGATTTGGAGTTTTTGGTTTTCACAGATATTAAAATTGATACCCTCGAGGTTTTATCCTCTTTTGTTTATTCTAATTCTTTGTGTGTTATTCCTTCTGATAAAAAGCAATATAATGATTGTTAATAGCATGCAACTCCATGACTGACCTACCTGAAAACACAAGATGGAAAAGTCCTTGACCTAATGTCAAAGTTTATGATGGACTTCTCTTACCATTAGACTTTGAACACTATGATTTAGCACTGTAGACAGAGACTTTACCCTGGTTTCAGGAGAGAAGTCTAATAATCCTCCTATAGAAGAGCGCAGGAAGATACAACCTTCAGAAGATGGGGGACAAGAGGAGAAAGGAGAAACTACTTAGCTGTGAAAATATTGCTTTCCTAGGGTGGAGATGTTTTCTTCTAGAAGGTTCAGATTTCTCTGCAAAGCAAACTTGAGCTAGGTCACTTGCAAAGTTTTCATCACTGGTTGGTCTTTTGTCCCTGGGAAAATGCCAGAAGTATAGGTACTCTGTGTGGAGCTCATGGGAAGCATGTCACAATCTTCTGAGGCATTTCAACCTTTCCCAGATGATTCCTGGGGAATGTGACACTGGCATCATGACAACCTGTATAGGATTTGGGTGGAAGACTTTGGATACAGATAAACTGTAGTACTATGCAGAAGTACTGGAAGGGATATAACTGAACTTAAGGAGGGAACATCAGAGGAACCCATGGCCCAGTAGCCCAGAAGGTACTCACAGACTTTAACACTGAACAATAGGGTAAATTAGGTATTCTCAGATTTTTCATTTTTATATTTGTATTAGATGGCATGTTTCATCTTTAGGGACTAGGCATCACATCCTGTGTTTGTACTTTAGAATCCTCCAGAAGGGTACATAGGGACTTGAGGACTTGATTCCAAATTTTTTGCCAGTACCTTGTTCAACACAATTTACAAAGAGGTTTCAAACGTGTTCCAGATTCAATGCTTACTCTGTTCTCAAGGGAACTGGCTGGAAGTCACTGACGCTTCTCATGAGAGATGAATTCTATCCAACAAAGTGTCCACTCACCAAGCCCGTGTGTCTAACGCTCACACAAATGCATTTCCCAACATGGGATGGGCCCAAGCCTTCACTGAGGAGAGGGGGCAGGGAAGAGTGTGAGGGTGCATGTGTGTGTGGTATTTAGAAGACTGAAACTCTTGTTTGTTTTCTTGTGTTTGTATAGAATTAACTCAGTGACCTCCCTACCTCTACTCTCTCAAGATCCTGCCCACCTTGGCACAGAAGATTTGAATACTTTAGGGCAGGGTTACACATTGACTGTCCCTAGAGCTCCCCTAATCCCGCAGGCATTTCCATGTCCTCAGTCTCGCTTCCCCACCCAACCCAACCAACTATAAGTGTCAGAATTCCATTGCACAGGGTTCAGTCCAATTATCAAAGAATGACCCTTGCTCACTATCAAGCTCAGGCATATCCTTGAAGTCAGTGTCACAAGGATATTTAGATAGGAATACGGTTCCTCTGCATTTATTTTAGTTAAAAAAATGGGAATCAGAAGGGAATGAGGAAAAAATAGAGAAAGTGGAGAAAGCAGTTACTCTTCCCAGATACACACTATTTCAAAAATTAATGTTGATTTGTTTATATAGTTATTAATTTAACAAGTGCACATTTTGGGATCTTGACTACTTAGTACTTTGAAAACCTACACTAGGGTTTAATTTAATAGCTCCCTTCCTTCAGTCTGCACTCCTGAAGCCAGCATCCATCTAGACTCAGAAAGAGATCTAGCCTCATTGCTCTCTCTTTCCACACCTCATGATCTCAGGGGAACTTTTGAACAGTGGGTTCTTTCCTCTCCAAATGCAGAGTTTTGTTTTCTTCTTTATAATGTTCAAGTATGCAGGAAATGAATCTTATGTGAGAAAAACTTATAAGACATCATAAGGAAAATGATATCTTGTAGCTTATGAAATTAATCTACTGAGTTTTGGTGTGTTGTTTTTTTTTTTTGTTTTTTTGTTTTTTTTTTGGTTTAGGGAAGAGTCATTATTTGAGTTTTAGATTAGCCTGTGTTTTCCTTACACCCTCTACCATAGTCAACTCATGAATCAATACTTCTGGCCAGAGACCAGGAATGGGAAATATCACGAGTCATAACCACAGTGCTGAAGAACTTCATGTACAACAGTTAAGTATTCAGCTGTGACTTTAATCTTATTTTGCAATCCATGTGTGGGATTTTAAAAATAATATCTAAAATTAATTACATTGTAACCAATTATTAATGTAAAATTATGAATGTGTGTTAGGTGCATGTATTGAGGCTAATATTGAAATGAAGGTCATTGTAGTACCAGCGCTTTATAATTGCAGTAATTAAAATTGCTATTTTGCCCAGGCACATCCTCTTTTACGTGAGGAAACTTACAAAAGTTTAACTCTAAGACTACTAAATATTTAAAAAGCAAACAAATCTAAAATTTCAAATTATAAATAAGCCTAATTACTACTAATGATGAAATCAGAAGCATATACTGGGAGTTTCTTCTACTGTTCATTTGTCAGATGTTAGCATAGACGTTTGAACCTCTTCACTTAAATCATGTTCAGTCAGATACCCTTGCCCTACTTTTGTTTCTAGAGGAGCAACCTACCCCTGGAAGGTACTTGGGAAACATTAGTTCTTGAAAATTGCCAACATGACAGACTACATGCATTTGGATTGAACACGGAATAGAATCTACAGCAAATTTTACTACAAGAAGGGTATTACCATGGCATAATGGGCTACCTTCCTATTCCCAAAGTAACATTAATATTATTACAATAATAAAGAAAGAGGAAACGTTGATGAAACCATATAACACATTGTAAACAGGAATAACTTTTGATTTTTGAGGATTATTTGTTTTCACATTTATCAGTGTATTATATTGAGACCGTATTTCCCAATTTTTCCTTCTGAAATGTAACTTTCCACTGATAACCACCTCTGCTGACAGCACCTAGCAATAAAGGGAGTGGAGATTCAGAATGATTCAGCTTTGATGACCTGAGATATTTCAAGTTCGTTCCTGTTTATTGCTTGTTTTCCCCCTCCAACACAAATTACATTATCATAAGCTATGTAACTTTTCCTATATAATCATCCAAGGCAAAAAATGACAGTGAAAAACTGTAAGTAACCCAAACAGCCTATAAGAGGAAATGGTTGAGGTAAATTATAATGCTATATCTGTTATGTATGGCATTATACTAGGTATATATTATACTATTAGGTATAGCTTTCTACTGCAAACAGAAAACCTGACTAAAAGGGGCTTGAACAATAGGGGATTTATTTTCTGACATAACAAGAGGTCTAAAGGTAGGATCCAGAGAGGTATAATTAATTGGACTGACAAGATTATCCAGAGCCCAGTTCTTCTTACTTTTCTTTTGTTCCATCTTTAGTGTGTAGACTGGCTCCCTTCATGGCCACAAGATGGTTGCAACAGCTCCAACCACCAGTTCTAGTGCTTCCTTTTCACACATATTTCACAGGTAGGAAAAGGATTTATTTCTTTTTTATATCACTTTTTAAGAATTAACAATTTCTGCATAAATCCAACCTGTAGACTTGTCCGTATATCTTATTGGTCAGAATTAGGTCAACCTGCTCATTCCTCAGCCAATCGCTGACAAGGAGAATACAATTATCCTGCAATGGACTAAATAAAACTCCTCTTATAAGCATAGAAATGGAGCTAGCCTTCCCTGAAGCCTCTGATTGCCCGAAAAAAACCCTGATTTCTGTTAGCAAGGAAGAAAGGAAAACAGTGTTGTGAATATAAAGCAGATATTAAAGATGAAGTTTCTGTTAATAACCTTATGTTATAACACAGCAAGATATTCAATGGCATGTACAATATTACCCAACCTATATAAACAAACAAAATCTTGAGAAAACTAAGCAGAGGGGCGCCTGGGTGGCTCAGTCGGTTAAGCGGCCGACTTCAGCTCAGGTCACGATCTCGCGATCCGTGAGTTCGAGCCCCGCGTCGGGCTCTGGGCTGATGGCTCAGAGCCTGGAGCCTGTTTCCGATTCTGTGTCTCCCTCTCTCTCTGCCCCTTCCCCGTTCATGCTCTCTCTCTCTGTCTCAAAAATAAATAAAATGTTAAAAAAAAATTTTTTTTTTAAAAAAGAAAAAACTAAGCAGAAATAAAGACTAGCAGAAAATACACCGAAATGTTAATAGCAATTATTCATGAGTAGCAAGCTAAAGGTGTGTTTTTCTTCTCCTTTTCTTTTTTCAAAATTTCTATTTGAAAAAAATTTTATTTTTGAGAGAGAGAGAGAGAGGGAGACAGAGAGAGAGAGAGGCAGACAGAGATGGAGACAGA